TTATTATCACTTTGTCGGGCATTGTGGCGCATTTTGCGGGCTAAAGTGGAGAATTTTGGCAGGCTAAAATATACATTTATTTCAGCCCACTGAAATAAACCAGACTGTTTTGTTTACATTTTTTCAGTTTTTATTCTCTCAATGCCCTCCAAAGTGATAACAATAGTAACAGAGTTTACACTTTAGGCCCTTCTCAGAGCTCATTTTAACCCTCGCCTTGTGGCTCGGGCTAAAATGAGTCTGAGTCTGCAGGCCCAAAACATATTTATGTCCACGAACATTAACTCTATTGTTTTATTATAATATTATTATTCACAAAATTCTGAAATTCGTATCCTAGGAGTTATCTTTTGTCTACTGTTGTTCATTGTCAGTGACATTGAAAAGCTCAAAACCCTTAACTGTAACTTGCTACTGTAAGATCATTACATGGATGCATGCACTTGTCTACATTGATCTTCAAGACAGAAACCTTTCCAAGGTGGACTGTCACAGCTGGTTTCTGGAGAACTCACTACATCCACGTACAAGATTAGTGGAAATTTTAGTGGAGCTCTCTTTGTGTCTTTTCAATCCTGATTTACTGTTCAAACAAACTAAACTGATGTCAGGATAAACGATTGAATAATTTCACCACTCCAAGGACACCATGTTCATCATCATCATCGGTCCTTATAGTGCCGTAGGATGCAGGAGGTCTCAAGGACACCATATTGGGAGGGTCTTTTGATCTTCTGTTCTAATTACCCAGCAAATAAACATATGACAATACTACATCCATGCTTGTTAAAACTCATGAAAATCTGTTGCCCTGTGTATTGATCACTTCTCAGTTATTGACTTTAAGGCTAGTAATCAAACCGATGCTCTCTTCCACTTTCCATATCCGGATTGATATCTACATAGTCCAGGTCTAAGTCCATATCAAAGAACTCATCCGATGTGTCAACATCAACTCCCACTTGTGCGATAGGATCAAATGGAATTATTTCATAATCCTCTAGAACAAGGTCTATTTCATCTCTAGGCGTCCCATGCCAGCTACGACTTAATGGATGTTCCTCAATCTGTGATTCCCCTTCTGCAGCTGAAGTACTTCCCATGCTTTCTATACCATCCTCGCAACTACCAGGAATTGTGGGGAGGGTCAACAGACCACTAGGATATGCAATACAGCTGATACTGCGACATTTCTTCATGTCTTTGTACGCTGCAGAAACAAGAATTAAATCTCCTTGAGTTAAACAGTAAAATAAATTTACCATGTTCATCCTCACAAAAATCAGTCAGACACAGTCTTACAAGTGGAGAGCATCAAATTTTCTCAAAGTTTACAAAATCACTGTGCATGTACAATAATTAGAGTGGACCCTGTTACTGCGCCTTTCAGTAACATGCGGACTCTAAAATTCAAAGCTCAACCGACTAATGCGTTTTTTGCTACTGTCAATGAAATATTCAGTGGCTCCTCCCAGCTTCTGGCTACTGCTGAGTGTGCAGTAATCAAATCATTGAGCACAGTTCAGACAACGAAACAGTGCTTGCCAGTAGCTGGAAGCTGGGAGGAGACGCCGAACATTTGATTGACGGTTGAGCTTTGAATTTTAGAGTCTGCATGTTATTGAAAGGCGCAGTAATACGGTCACCAACACGCCATGAAAATTTGGCCACATTAACAGAGTAGTATTGATTTAACACTTTTAACACTTTAAACATACTTGGAGTATCCACTTCAGTTCTATCACCACCAAACCCAAACAGATCGTCACTGTGATAACTTGACCAGCCTTTACCATAGCTCTTGGATTTAAGAGTCTGTGACCTAAAAGTAAAATAATAAAGTTAACTTGACGGAAAAATGTAGTGCAGTGTTCCGTGTTTCTATCAAGTTAAATAAGTGGAAGTCTGGGAGAACGAGGTATGCTGTGGGAACATGAGCTGACAGGCGAGTGTATCCACAGCATTTTGGAGTTCTCCCAAACTTTCACTTGAGCTTCTATTAAACAATTAGATTAAGAGCTC